CTTTGGAGTCCCAACATCAGGTTTACGTTAAAGAGAGGGCAGGGGGCGGCAACCTGCGCAGTCCTGGTGAAGGTGCAGACCGGTTCATCTTTGTTGTCTGGGCTCCAGAGTCTCCAGCAACCTAGTCTAACAAGTTGTCAACATGTGTGAAACAGCTTTCTGGGAGACAAACTTCCCTTCTGGCTGGCACCAGACTTTACCATCTTCCTTCTCCTAACAGGAGATTCCTGTGAGGGGGGAGATTCCAGTTTCTTGGGGTTCATTGTTTCAATAATCTGATGGCCAAAAAGAGGGACATGGGGTTCTTTGCATATTCTCATTCCTGCCAGGATGACTACATGGGACTGAAGGGAAATCCCAGAGGGAGCTGGATAGAAGAAGGAGCCTAGAGACCTGGGTGAGAGTCCCTTTGGGCAATCTGATAAGCAGCAGCAGTTCTGGAAACACTGTGAGGACCCAACAGAAGAGAGCTCCTGGGAAATTGCAGGGCTGCACAGGGTGCAGAGTGCATGACCTAGAGAAGCAGGCTGAGACCTCAGGGAATGATGGGGCTGTTGACTGTCCCTTGCTCCCCTTTGAGAAGTTCCACTCCTCAGAAGCAAGAGTGCCCCCCAGAAAACAGACCAGTTCTGTAACAGTCAACAACCAGGTCTAACAGGATCGGCATGATGCCCAGATGTTATCTCTGCCTGTAAGAGCAAAGCTGTATCCACTTCAGAAGCAGGGGACAGTATTCAGTCACCCTCACCAAATTGATCCACAGCTAAAGTATCAAAGGGAGGTGTCAGGTATGTCACAAAAAGGGATCAGACCACTGAAAACCAAGAGAAAAGTCATTCAATAACAACAGACCTAAAGGTGACTCCACTGTGGAGGTTATCAGACAGGGCCCCCAAGGCGGATGAGTCCACGTTCCTCAGATGACTCACTGCTAGACTCAGCCATTGACCCCTGACCCCCCAACCCTCCAGCTAGCATCGTCTTTGGATGGCCCTTCCTACTTCCTACTCTCTAGAAGCAACTACGTTCAATACTTTTGTCTTTTCTGGCATTTTTTTTAAATTGCAATAACGTGATTTTTTTTCCTGTGTTATTTCCAAGACAGGAGCTTGATATTCACACTAGGCTGACCTTGAACTCCTAATCTTCCTTCCTCGGCCTCCCAAGTACTTGAATTACAGGTCAGACATGTACCACCACACCTGCCCATATTGGTATTTCTTACTTTCTATTTTCTGTTCTAGTTTGGCTTCTGTTGCTGTGATAAAATACTAACCAAAAGTAACTTAGAAGAGGAAAGGGTTTATTTGGCTTAGAACTCACAATCCATTATCGAAGGAAGCAAAGTAGGAGCTCAGGGCAGGAACCTGGAGGCAGGAACTGAAGCACAGACCACAGGAATGCTGCTTACTGGCTTGCTCCTCTGGCCCATGCTCAATCTGCTTACTTGTACAACCCCGACCACCTGCACAGGGGTGGCACAACTCATAGTGGGCTGCGAGGGCTGGGTCCTTCCACATCAGTCAGCAAGAAAATGCCTCATAGACATGCCCACAGGCCAATCTGATAGGGGGAATTCCTCAATTGAGGTTCCTCTTCCCAGGTGTGTCAAGTTGACAACCAAGAGTAGCCATCACACCTTCTGAGAATGGCCTCACCATTTCCACTCTTGGCAGCAGTGAGTGTCTCATCTGTCCCCACCCTCAATGTTCATAGGTATAATTTGATATAAGTGTGACCATCTGCCACTTATTTTTGTTCAATATCATTTATGAGCTTTGCCCCTGCTTATCTAAATATTATCTTTATATACTCGATTCATGTAATTTTTAACCATTACAACATTGTATATAATATATTACAGTTGCAATACTGCAACACCTACTGATAAACATTTGGGTCATTTCCAGTTTTTTTCCCCTTATTCTTTCAGTGACTACTGAAAAATTTCTGTGAATAGTCTTACTGTCTCTTGGAGCTCAAGGTCAATGTACTCCACTCTCACACATCCTGAGCATCAGAATCACCTGGGCCTGTTAAACACAGACTGGTGGTCATTCTGGGAGGAACTCACAGCCAAAGCAGCACCGTGGTAGGCAGGTCTGGGTGGTATACACAGGTAGCACTCAGCCTCCATGTGTCAGAAGGGTGGGAAGCGATCCATCTATGATAAGACCTAAGGATGACTAAAAGTAAATCAGACAAAGGAGAAAGGTGTTTCAGGCAGCTCGAGAGGCCCATTCAGACCTATGGCAAGTTGAGGACCAGGAAGACAAGGGCAGGAGAGACAGACCAGCAGGGCCAGGTCATAGGGGAGCATTGCACATTTTCCCCCGGAGTTTAGGTTTCATCTAGTGATTGAGGAAGCCACTAAATGGAACTCAAGCCACCAGGGAGGAGACTGGAACCAACCTTAGCTCTAGAAAGAATGTTCCTTCCTCCAACTTCTTCCTTCCTTCTCCCTGTCACACTACCCAGTAATGCTGCCAAATTATGAATGAATCCAGAGACAAATCCACTCATTAGGTCAGAGCCCTCACACACACACCCAGAGATGACCTTCACTAGCTTCCCAGGAATTTCTTAACCCAATCAAGATGATGATCACAATTAACCATGACCCCCCTCAGCCCTCTCCCCCCTTCTCCTGCCTCCCTTCAATTTTTCTTTTTTCGATTTCAACTTTATTGAGATCTAATTTACACTCATAAACTCACCCCTTTTACTTTTAAATTTTATTTATTAATGTGTGTGTATGTGTTTGAGTGTGTGGGGGGGTAGTGCATACCTACTGTGGTACGTGTATGAAGGCCAGGACAACACTGTGGAATCAGTTCTCTCCTTCCATGATTATGTGGGTCCTAGGGATTGAACTTAGGTTTCCAGGTTTGCATAGCAAACACCTTTACCTGCTGAGTCACCTCATAGGCCCCGAAAACTCACCCTTTTAAAGTGTACAATTAGTGGTTTTTACTATATTCACAGTTGTGTAGCTCTTAATTACCGAATTCCACAGCACAGCCGTCACTCCTAGAAGCCACCTTTACCCATTGAGCATTCTATTCTTCACTCAGTCACTAAAATACTTTGCATAAACTTGGTTATTCTATATTTTTCATTTAAATCTATATAAATACAATTACTAAACTTGTACTGCTATACTGAAATATCCTGAGTAGCCCAAACAGTGGGTTTCTCACAGAGGTCAAGGGTCACGGCTGAGGCCTGGTAAGGACTCTGCTCCTGACTTGCAGATGGTGGAGAGGGAGGGAGGCAGGGAGGACAAGAAAGGGCTCCTTGATGTCTCCTTGTAAGGACATTAAGCCTATGGGATCCAGGTCCACCTTTATGACCTCAAGTAACCTTATTTCCTTAGAGGTTCGATCCCTAAATCCATGCTAACCCAGGGTTAGGGCTTCACCTATGAATTGGGAAGGGAGGGGGCATAATTCAGACCATAGCATGGGCTCATGGATATTTGGTCTACTGCTACTGCGGTGACGCTCAGCACCTCTCCGGGTCCCTCTGTGTTGTAGCATGTATCAGCATTTCATTCATTTCTACAGCTGAGTTGATATACCACTGTATGAACAGACCATTCCATTCTCTCATCAGCCTATGGGGATCTGAGCTGTTTTCACTTTGGGGCTTTCTAGGAAGCCAGGTCGAGGTTGAAAAGCGCAGCTGCACTGGGCAGCCTCCAGCCTTATTACCCCACGACCAGCTCCACAACTTGCAAGGGACCGTACAGAATGTGCTGGCCACCTTTTGTCAGCAGTAGTCAGGCCATGAGCAGCAGGGCCTCTTGGTGGAGGGTGAGGTTGAACAGGCAGCTTAGGCGGTTCCCCAGGGGTCATGGTGAGCACCTTATGGAGACCAGACATACATTTTTTACTATCTTATTTTTATTTTATGTGTATGAGTGCACTGCTACATGTATGTAAGTGTACCCGCGTCATGTAATGCCCCCGAAGGTAAGAAGAGGGCGTCAGATCTCCCTGGAACTGGAGTTACCGGATGGTTGTTAGCAATCATGTGGGTGCTTGGAATCAAACCACTGCAAGAGCAGTCAGTACTACTAACCCCTGAGCCGCCTCTGCAGCCCTAAAACCAGGAATATTTACGACCCCAGAAACAGGTAGGGAAATCCGAACCAGGGCACCGGGCCTAGCACATGCTAGGCAGTTGCTCTCCCTACTCGACTACACTCCAGCCTCAGAACACCGGACTCTTTGGTCAAGCTGTTGGTATTTAATAAGAAACAGAACAGACACGGAGTTTTACGCCCTGGAGTGTCCACTCCCGCGCCCCAGGTGCCCCAACCTGCTTTCCCCACGCAAACGCCTAGCCTATTCCCCACGGCCCACCATGTGACGCCAGCAGACTCTGCGCATGCGCTCTCGACTCCGCTTCCACCTGGCGCCCATGGGAACACGCCCATAGACGGTCGGGGCGCCTATAGAGCGCCTGCGCAGTAGCGGCTATTCGCGAGGGCGCGCCGCGGGAGCGGAGCCTACGGAGGCCGGAAGGAAGCGCGAGGAGGGCGGGGCCAGCGAGGGAAGCTCTCCGGCTTGCAGGACGGCCGTCGCGGCCAGATGACGTCGCACAATGGCCGGCCCCCGCGGGTAGTGGACCCCGTTTGTTCCGCCCGCGTCGTGCCTGAAGCCGGAGCCCGTGAGAAGTGGAAAGGCCGAGGGACGCCCTGCCTGCGCCGCCCCCACCCCAGCGGAACCGTGGCCGCCTCCCGCCCTCGCGTTGAGGTAAGCGGGGCCGGCGGGCGGTGAGGAGGAGGCCGCGCTGACGGCGGCGGGAGCGAGGCCCCGAGCCCGGCGCCGCCTCCCGAGCACTCGGC